TCATTTCTTTAAATACTGACACGATTTACTTAATGAAAGAGAAAAATTATTATTTACTAAGTGACAGTAACAAGCACTATATTAGTAGAATTTATCTATTGCTATCAATCTTAATTCATTAATAAAAACGTTAACTGGTTATTGGGCCAAGGAGTTCTCCACGATTCCAAATATGTTAACCATAGAACTGTTCAGTGAATTGGAGTATGTGTAAGAGTTATTCCAAGAAAACCCCCAAGGTCATCTTAACCCTAAGACTAACTAATCCTTCACAGTTTCATGGTCAATTAGAAGGCTACTAAAATGCACACTCCAAATCATGATAAAATCAATGTAACAGTTAATATGTAAGCAACAAATTATTGCTTAGAGTGAACAAAAGGCCCCACATCAGCTAACGATTCTGGAATGGGGGGCACTTTATAGTGAGCTCTGTATTCAGAGTATTTCAGAGTCCCCGAGACCAGACAGAAGCTGTGACATGTTAGCCCCAAAGGGCATCTCCTCCATCTTCCTCATTAGCTCCTTCCCGACAAATATCCCCATGACCTCATTCTGATTCTGACTGTACATGTGCTAAGATATTGAAGACACTAAAACCCCACTGTAACAGGTGACCTTTAAAAAGAGAGACAACTTTAGTGAATATTCTTTCACTGTCGATGTCCTTGTGATTATTTTGAGAGAAAGTGCACTTAGCAAAGGCAGCATGAAACTCTACTTTGTGAACACCCAGCAAATAACTGGGGCTTCCTGAAACAACAGCCTCGGGTTTATTCTAGATCGTCAGGAGATGAATTGCCTAGAGTGCCCATCTCTGATTTCTTTCCTACTGTGCCAGGACTTTTTCTGACACCACCATCTCCTCCATCTTATGGCACCAGATGCTCTTCAACCAACACACCCTCAATCCCTCCAACAGAATTAAAACTCGTCAGAGTTGCAAGAGCCACACCCAAGTACCGGATGAAAATGTCGCGTTAACACTATGTGACTGACTATCTGCAAAGGTAAAAGGGGCTGTGGGGAAGGCACTGCTCTGGGTTGATTAAAGACTGGTCAGCTGGCATATTTAGGGAGATACACCTTTGATGCCTTTCCGAACAGGGAAGGTTACTTTGTTTGGAGCCCACAGAATTAGTTCGGCTGTCAGTCCTGCTGCTGCTACGGGTAGCCTGAATGTCCTAGGCTCTGCGTGGGTTGATAACAAAAAGCCAAAAGAATAAGAACAACTGGAAAAGCCAGAACTCTCATTTATTTTACACTGTCTTATGTCTTATTTTACACTGTCTTATGTCAGGACGCTATGCTTCTCCCTTAACTCTCCCTACTCTGTCTCCATCTCCCAACATTACCTGAGTCTAGGCCACAGGGCCAGGTGCTAACACTTCAGCAACAAACAGGGGATAGACCCTTCAGTGTTTTATCATAGTTACTCCTTTGTACCATCCAAGCATTAGGATTTCCAAGAAAATACTCAATGCCACACGTAAGAATATCAACACATTTCACTACTTAATTGGAACTAAAAATGGGCTTTGTCGATTCCGGCTGGAAAAGCCATAATTTTCCAGACAACTAAAATTAGGTCATTTTGGTGAGCAAAAGACATATTCCAAATAAAGCAGCAAATTTAACACAAAAAGCCTCCAGCAGGGAGGGCATAGTTCACAACTATCTTCCTCTGGATAGCCTTTCTCAGAGTTTAAAAGCCTCTTTGGGGTGCTGTCCTGCATTAACACAGGGACCACCAGAGCACCAAGGAGGAATCGATGACTATAAGCAGCGTGTACTTAATATTCCTAGTTTGTAAATGTTCAGACAAAAGACAGCAACAACCAGTTCCTAAACCAACAGAAGGGAAGGAAGTGGGAAAATGTTGGTCTGGAAATAGTTCTGTCCCATTACTAGGAGGGGCACGAACTACTCTGTATTGGCATGTGCTCCCAGGGAGTCCTAGGGAGGCAGGGACAAAACAAATGCATGGCAGAGGCCAAACTGGTTTTCCGCAGCAAGACCTCACAGACCCTTCTGGTCCTTTTTATTGCAGGTCAACCACTCAACTCAAACTTCAACCTAAAAAGCCAGCAAATGATCAAACCATCTAAAGGAGTACATGCTAAGTTGATAGGTAGGGTCGTTTTTAAAGGAGAAAACTTGGCTTCTCAAGTCCTACTTTCTGACCTAGGACTTTAAATCTTTCTTGAGAATAGGTGAAGTGTAAGTCGCCTACAGGTGGGTGAACAAACACATTTCTCATCTCTACCACAACGACCTTGTTGGTTAAGAAGGTGAGAGAAGTAGGTGTTTCCCCATCTAATCCAGCCATATTCTAACCTTACTCCTCAAAAGCAATGAACATAAATCATACTGTTGGAAAATCACCCTCTGGTCGGATTTGAGAAGGATTCCAGCAATCAAAATCCCTCTGAACCTCTCCAATCCCATGCCAAACTCCCTCACTCAGAAGATGGATTCCTTTCTCATACAGTATTTTTCTGTTCAAGGAGTTGATCAATTCTTACATCCTCATAAATGACTGCACTGGATAATTTAAATGTAATTTAAAAAGAGGAAGTCTAAGCAAGCCAAGATCAGTCATAGCGCAGTGACTTGTTGAAAACAAAGCTCTCAGTGCCTCTGACCAGTGAAGCCATTATGCTCTTCCTGGGATAGTCTATATTGCAAGGGCTAAGAAAAGACGTTACTCAAAAGAGAACAGCTGTGCCTTAGACACATAATCACCTGTTGGAGTCATGCCAGTATCTGGTCAACAGATGGCAGGCGTTTCATTTCATTTTAATCTTCAGACATTTAAATGTTATAAGATTGTGCTTTTCAGATTTTAAGAACAACGCATTGTTACTAAGAGGGAAAAAATACCTAGTATCTCAGGTCTAGGAAAACCTATTATTTATGAAATCCAAACCCCGTTGAACAGTGAAATCACCTTCTAAATCATAAGCACCTCACTTAAAACCACTCTGTCCCTGATACTGTCAGATAGCACACTGCCTGCAGCTCTTTTCACCCCCTACTTGAGCTACAAGTCAAGCAACGCCAGAAGAGCCACAAAGCTGTGCGTGGTCAACAGTGGCCCCTGGTGGTTACCCTGCCAAACTGTCTGACCTCAAGTGTGTGGGACTTGGCACACCCACTTCCATGTCTGTTGAGATGCCGTGAGCACCCATAGGTTTATCCTTAACACTTCCTCCCTCCTCTCTCTGCATGATGGGCAAGGTGGGGAACATAAGACAAGGCGATGTGAGAGGCAGGGAAATCTCTAGAAACTGAATAAGTAAAGAATCGCTTTCAAAATCATAAACACCCCTTGCCAAAACTCTAATATGTCTCTTAGTGGGGCATCATCTTAGCCACGTCTGGAAAATCACAAGGTCTCTAGAGAAATAAATGTTACTGATCGAGTTGGGTGTTTTCTTGTTTTCTTTTTTTTTCTTTTTTTGTCATCCAACTGAATTTTTTCCATTTAAATGCCCATCTTTTAATGGTGGTTAGAATTTCCTATTTGGGGGAGAGTTAAGATGTCCCTTTTATGAAATGGTGACGTCAAAACATGATCACTTTAACAAATTATCCTTACTTGGCCAAGTTAGCCAACTTTATTTGTTTTTGTTTTAAACCGACGGACAATTCTTGAAAATAAAAAATCAGATAATGGTCAACAGCTCTTGGGTGATGGCTGGCCCCTCTTCCCATTTATTCTCATCAATCCTCTTCTGCAATAATTAGGCTTACTGGGGTAGTAGAACATCCCTGCACCTGTGCTGACTGAGGTCAGTCAGTCCTTGGGCTTACTTCTCACTGTCCATCACTCTCTTGCGTGCATAATAGACAAACCACCCCTCCCATAAAGGTCCGTGTTCTTAATGCAATACTTTGCGTTTAACTAGGATGAAAATCTTATCAATGGGTAGGTGGCATCACATCTTGAGTGTACAAGCCAGATCCACCTATGGGGGTCAGATATGTTTAGAAAAATCTGTTAGAGTCACTGTTTGAGGTCATCTGGAATCTCTGTAGAAGGGACTCAGACATCTCCAGAGAAAGCACTGAACTCTACCGGGAAAGAAAGTCAGGCAACCAAGTTTGCCCAGTCTTCATCCTTCTGATCCTGAGGGAGAGGGGATTCTGAGTTCTATAAGGAGTCAGTCGCTAAGATATGTTGTTCCCTACCGCCCGTCCCCAACACTCTACGGGTCCTTGAGTAGTAAGGAAAGAGGAGGATTCCAGGAAAAAAATTTGAAAGAGCTATTTTTTTTTAATAAAAACCTACATAAAACATTAGAGCAAAAATATTTCTGCTGTGGAATCTACGGTGCATATACTGTACATATAATACCTTGCACCTAGTACAAGGGAGCTCTCATACACCAAGAACATCATGTAGTAAGAGGACACAGCCACTTAACGGTGCCTTAAGGCAGCCTGACTCAGTGAGCTTTACAACACCCCCTTCAAAAACAGGGCCGCTCTCTTAATCCTAGTGTCTTCACGGTGGACTCACACGCACACACAGGGAAAAGACCCCAGTACATGACCTGCCTCACCAGCTCCGGGTTGTAGAGTCCACGACGTGGACATGTGAGCCACCCTCCAGCTCCAACCAAGGCCTCTCACCAACACTAGAGTGATGACAATAATGGAGCGTGGGCTTGCACAGGAAGATCCCCAACTTCCGTCCAAATGAAAAACCAGAGAAATATGGATTACAGGAGGCTGACACCAACAGACACATTCTGGGTTTCCCTGGCACGTGAGCATTCTCATTATAATGTTCTTCCGCCTCCAGGGAAATGGCATGGATGTAATTTGCACATAACCATCTCCAGGAGGGTCAAAGTTAAATCACTTGAAGACAAGGTCTTAGTCTTCACTTTCCTTAGTCTCCAACTTCCGTTAATAGAAAATGAGACATTTATACGTTCCTTTCCCCTTTCCCCTCCTTCTTTCTCCACCATATAAACATATAGTTAATATACCGAGTATGTTAGCAGTGCACTGAAGGATTCCTGAGACGTCTTCAATTTCCTCTTTGTTGGAATGGTCTGCATAGGAGCATCTGTTAGAGATATTGTGGAAATTCCTTTCTGCGTCCCTGTAACTAAGAAGAAAACAAAATTAGCATACAGAGAAAAATTTTAAACCATCTGCGAATGCACTCATATATGTACACATAAGCGCACATACTCTGTGCTTTTAAAAATACCTGCATTGTAAAATAACTCAGGCCTTCAGACACCATTTCTGGCATAACCCACCATTAACACCAGCATTAACCGTGTGGACCAGGAACCAGAGGCCGTCGTCAATAAGAACGCTGCGTGTGAAACCACAAATGTATCAGTTTGTAGAGTTAGTGGTTTCCTTATCTGAGTGCCTCAAAGCTGCTGGTAATCTCTTTCTTTTAAGGAAGATGCCTGGCAAAAAAAACCTAATAATTAATGGTACTTATTTGGTGCACTGGTACTTTGTTAAAAGTCAACGCATCCCAACCTCTAACACAGTCCAGGACACAACAGTGTGGTGTATGGATAACAAATTAGCCCACAAACCAGCTGGAGTCTGACGGAATTTGAATCATGGTCTTACCATTTTCTATCTGTGAGGTTATGGGCAAGTAACCTCATCTCTATGGGTCTAACTTGCCCCCCATCACAAAATGGAGATCCACACACCTCCCTCCCCAGAGTTCTTGTGAGGACAGAATTACAAAATACCTGTGTAATCAGGTGATGCCTGGACCTTCTCCAGTTGCCTCTGGATTAGAGCTAAGGCACCAGAGCTGAAGACACTAGGGGCCTGACCCTCTCACACTCTGTAAGAGTAGCCACTTTCTTCAGAACTTAAGAAATGACTGGAGCCCCTGTCTTCGCCTGCTTACAGAAGCAAAGGAATTTTTTTAAAAAATGGAAAGGAAATCCTCAGAAGAGAAAGTAAGTGGCCTAGGAGAATGCTGTTGCTATTCCTTCCCTGTCCTACAAGAAAAAGAGAAAGGACAGGCTTTCTGCAGAAGCCCCGTTGGCCAGAGAGGGGTCACCCCTAGTTGAGACTGGGCACTGGGTACCACACTCCACTGTGAACGTCTGCTGAGGTAGAATTCCTGATCATCCCTTGGTGCCTGAGTGAGTGGAGGGAGAAGGTTCCAGAAAGAGTTATTAATCGGGAAAAGAAAGTGAGGCAAAATGGGAGCAGCCTACCGGACCTCCATTTGGCAAGGTAAAAGCTAGGGGTTTCCCGTGGGCTGGGGAGATACAGGGAAAGAGCAGGCTTGGGTCGTCCCCTCCTACCGCATTCCCCAGCTGGAGGCCCCCAGCAGGAGAGGGACCCCACCAGCAAGGCCAGGGAGTACACCCCTCAGGGGCAAGAGTGGGGCATCTGAAGCACCTTACTGAGGGTCTCCCAGCCAAGACACGGCTGTTACAGCCATCAGTGATTTAAAAAGGCTGCTACCATCTTCCATTTTATTCCTGCCTCATGCAATACATCCGAAGAGAAAGGGACCCCGAAAAGGGTGGCCTGGACCACGGGAGAGAAATGTCGCAGGGTACCCTCTCTACTTGCATCCTGACGCAGGCAGAGAGGGATGGAACGGGGACACTGGCTCTGGGATGGATACGTGAACTCATCGGGAGTGGACTATAGACTCCCTCGAAGTTTTTGGACATCAGGGCAATCTGCCCAATATCACAGAGGACCCATCCTCGCATGTGTGAAGTGACTGAGAGAAAAAAATCAAATGGTCTCACGCTTGCACACTTCCCTGAGATCAGATCCCAATAAACCAGCTTGGCAAAATGCTCATTACAGTTTCCAGGATGCAGGAATCACTCAGTAAAAGGGGGAATGGGGAACACGGTCATTAAAAACAGACAAATACAGGGTTGTTTGTAAAAGCAGGCTCCATCACTTTAATTGGGCTGATCCTAGACATATGTATTAGTCACCTTGCCGTGGCGGACACAATGTTGAGGTACAGGAGCAAGTGTCCAGGAGAGAAGCTGCCGCGGTGACAGTGGGGACGGAGAGGATTTTCCACACTGCACGAACACCTAACTGTCACCCTCCTTTTCCCAGCCTGAATGGTCTCTGTGAATAACTGCGTGAATGAGAGAATGGACAAGTTGAGGACTAGAACAAATGTTTGAAGATAAAGTTCCTGGGGCGCAGAGAGGCTGTCTCGCTCCCCGACAGAGGCTCACGGGCTCCTCCCTCCCGTCCTCCATCTGTGTGAGCCTTTCAACAGCTGCTCCCTGCATTCAAGTCGACATCTCAGAGACTAAAAAAGCCTCAGAGAGTTTCTGTGAACTACTTGTAAGAATTCATCAAGGAGCAGCAGGCAATCCTGAAGTTCTGATAAATAAAGCAGGTCCAAGGGCAGTTTTAAAGGACAGGAGCGGGAAGATGGGGAGGCCAGTGGTGAGAGTGGACTTCAGAAATTCACAACAGCAGGGGCTGGTACCCATCTGCACAGGGATGGAGCTAGAGACTGATGCTAAGTGAAATTAGTCAGAGAAAGACACCATGTCATGTCACTCATCTGTGGGATTTAAGAAACAAAACAAATGAGCAACGGGGGAAATAAAAGAGAAACAAACCAAGAAACAGACTCTTGACTACAGGGAACACACTGGAAGACTGGTGGTCCCCAAAGGGGAGACGGATGGGGGGTGGGGGATGGACGAAACGGGTGAAGGGTGCACTTGTGATGAGCACAGCGTGATGTGTGCAAGTGTTAAACCACTATATCCTACACCTGAAGCTATCATAACACTGTACCGTAGCCGCACTACAATTACAGTTTTGAAAACACTGAAGAAAAAAACACACAGAAGGGCTCATACTCCTCACCATCAATCCTGATTCATCCTCCCAACTCAAGGCACCTCAAAGCTGAGTTACTTGAAGACAAACCTTGGGCAACACCCTATTTCAGAGATTTGGAAACCATGTCTCTCCCACCCTCACTCTCCACCAGAAACATGTCAACGAATACTCAGCACTTTTCACCAATTGCCTGAAATCCTTTCAACTGGAAGAAACACATTCTTTTTCAGTTAGAGATAAAAAGCCTTTAATTGTGTCTTCGTGAGAGGAACAACAGGCAGGTGTGAATACTGATTTCGAGTGTTAGTCATAATCGATGCTCTCCTTTTGCAGTACTAAAGAGAAATAGGAAGAGAGAGAGAGAGAGATGGGCGCAGACACGAGTGCTGAGGGAAGAGGGAAGACAAAGTCAAGAAAGGCCAATGTCACAGTACTGCCGCACACGCACCGAAAAGGCAGTGGGCACTGGTACTTGCAAGTCCTCAGAAGACAGCCCCCGACAGCCCCCGCTCAGGTGAAAACATGTTAACCAGTCTCTTTGGAACCAGCTGGACATCAGGACGCCTTTTTCTCAGAGCCACATGCACGGTTTCCCTTACCCTGTGTCTGCAAGAAGCAGAACTAGAAAAGACCATTTGGAGGCCAAGAATCATCACAGGCTATGTCTACATGGACAGAGGGAGCAGGAGAGGTTAGACAGTGGTTGAGATCAAAGAGAACTCCCTCTTACTAATGGAAAAAATAATCTTCTCCTGAATATGGTAACATAGCGTAGGTACCTACTCTGATCATAGTTACAAGATTCCCGCTCCAATCTGCCCTGAAGACATAGTTCAGTTCAGGAATGAGCCCTGACAAGGCTCCCCGTGTCGAGCTCTGTGCTGACAGCTCAGAGCCCAGACCTGCTTCAGATTCTGTGTCTCCCTCTCTTTCTGCCCTTTCTCTGCTCACATTCTTTCTCTCTCTCTCAAAAAATAAACATAATTTTTTTTAAATATTAAAAATAATAAACAAGAGCAAACAAGTATGCAACACTCACCACACACAAAAAACTGTTCCAAGTATATTGACTAATTTAATCCAAATGCCACACTTGGGAAGCAGCAAAACCACTGAGTGATTAAGTTTTATTTTAGAACATGTGGGGAGAGATTAATTTGACATCATTTGCCTCTATTTGGATAAACCATTTACAATCACTAATGGCCTCAAACTAAAAGCCATCTCATGAGTTTAAATAATACGCTTCTCCTACTACCACACTTTTGAGGACTGATGTGACAAGGTTTCAGAGCAATTCCCTTTGAAATGACAATTAGCGTAATTACCTAGCACTTAAAGTATATGGCATTGTACTAGGTCCCGAGACTTTTTTCCCACTAAATCTTCTTTTCTTCTGTTTCTGTTTAAAAACAATAATCACAGTGCATCCTACTAGCCCCAAATATAGTCTCGATCCCCATGACAATGACTATTATTCCCAAATGTTAAATGAGGCTTGATGTCATTTAAGAAGGTACCAGGATATGAATCTTAGCTCCTCAAAAGTGCTTACAATCTTACACAAATAAATCACGGCACCTCAGAGACAGCATTAACTATGTGAATTAAAACTATGCACTGCCTCTCATGTCAATGAGTTTAACCCCTTCATTTTACGCTAGACTACATCAGAAAGTGAATGTAGGCTTCTGTATTTCCAACTGCTTTCTGCCATGGTCAGTCGTAAATATACCTTAACACTTATCTGGAGCTTTCTGGAGCTTTCTATTTACAGAATACTCCCAGTGAAATGATCTCATTTACTCATAGCATCTAATCTTCAATTAGCTGTCACCATCATCATCCTCCCTTACAAAACAGATTAACTTTAAAGTTCTATGTGCTGGTGAAGCTTTGAGTTCCTCTTCCTTGATTTTGTCTTCTTACCTTACACCATATCCCAAGGATGTAGAGAAATGAAGGATTAAAGAAAACTATGGAACGTGGGACCCTAACTAAACCAATACCTCTCCCTGAACTGTATTAGGCTTGTAATGACTGCCTTGACTTTCCTAAAGGATTCTAAAATCCCACATAAAGCCTCTCAGTTGGTACCATTAAACCCACCTGTATTACTAAGGCACAATTAGGAGATCTGGTGGAAGAGGAGGAGAGGGAAAGAACACTAGAAGCCGAAGAAGAGAAGTTTAAAAGGAACGGCAACACCAGAAGGGAATTCCATTTAAAAGGATCAAGCAAAAATAAACCAAAGGAAGTCAGTCCAGAGGGTTCCGAGGAGCCCCTGCCCCACAGCCACTGGAAAAGAAGACGGACTTGGGTAGCAGAAAAGCACATGCTCAACAGCTACATTTGAGTAATTATCTTTCATTTGCCCCAAATAATGACCAAAATCTACTTTACTTACCCAATAACTTGGTGCTCATAATACTGCAGTGTTCTCTGGAGAGTCTGCTGTATTGTCTGAGGCTGGAGAAGAAGAAGAAGAAAACTATATTATCAGCAAATCAGTGCCTTTTCCCTTCTGAGCATCAGAGGCAGATATATGGCTCCTGATTTATCTCCTATGAATTTTCACTTTATTAACCCATTACACATTTTGCCATGTACGTTCCCCCAGGAACTAATGTGAGGCACTCAGCAATTACCCCAAATTTCCCAGAGTTTCAAGTGCGATAGCATTTCCTAGCCATATTTTTTCCAATTCTTTTGCACCAGCCCATAGGTTCAATACAATACTCAATATTTATTGTGGTTGTCTACAAGAAAGTGAGGCCTTGAGGGCAGTGGAGGGGAGGGGGACTCAAGAAACAAGAGCCAAGCCCAGCTCAAACCTCACCTCCTCAAGTACCCAAGAGATTTCAAGTAAGGATTCTGGGCCTCTGAGGGGGCCACGGGTGCTCTGGGCAAGAAAATGGGCTCTGCGGCAAATACCTAAGTAGTTCCCAGCCCAACTATATAATCCGCGCTTCTCCGGGAGAGCTGAAGATAGTTTCTTACTCTCAGGTCAGGAAATTTTTCTTAGACTTACCTAGGCAACAGAGCCCGAGCTTGGAGTTTCTGACCCCGGGAGCCATGAAGATCCCCGAACATAGAGTTTATTAAGAAGTTGGGGTGAGAACCAAATCAGAAATTTATTTTTGGAGGAATCAGCCTCCAAGCGTGCAAGGAAATAGGTACAGGGCCTGTGCCTTCACCAGCTGTTTTTCATTGACACCGCGTTAAAATGATGAACAGGAGGCCTCAATCTGGCAGATGTTTCTGCTCTTCAGAACAGAATCAAAGCCCAGTAGACAGAATGTGCCTAAGCCAGAGAAATCACTCCTGAGCTGAGAAGCAATGGAGCTGTTAAGAAATCTAAAGAAGCAGACACAAAAATCCTGGTGCACAAGAAAAGTGTGCTTTAAAAACTCGACCCGCGGCCAACCTACACCAAGTCATTATCAGTCACTGGCCCCATACCCCTGGGAGGTGGGCCTCTTGCACTGGCTTGGCAGCTTGTGAGCTGAGCTAACTTTCTCTTTGGCAACATGCCCTAAAGGCAGTGACTATGCACACAGGGATTACCCTTCCAATAACCTCTGGTCACAAAACACAGAATAGCAACTAGAGTGCATAGGGCCAATTAAGACCAGAATGACCTCATTTGTACAAAAGGACATTTTTTCCCTGTACCAGGAATTTCCCAGTCATTAAAAAGTACATGTTTCTGAGAGGAGTTAAGCCTTTTCAAGAGATGACTTTTCTTCTTTTGTGAAACATTTACTTTTTTTTCCCTCCCCCAGCAGGAGTTAAATTTATAGTTTCCAAATACATTAAAAGGCAAACATTCTCTGGGAATATCCGACAGAGCTCCAACACCAGAAAGCATTTATATACTTCCTGTTGCTCACCAGAGCCGGCAGGCACGTTCTGATGGTCTAAACTGCAAGCACAGAGGGTGAGTGCAGACTATCTCCTCATCGTCAGCAAGCCAGGGCTGACTTGGGCACAGAACATCTCACCATGGATTCACAGAGTCTTCCTCAGAGTTTGCCTGATGGCTCACCCAGTGGCCCTTAGCAGTGAGAGAATCTTCACTTAATCTCGGGGTCTCTCTTGACCTGAATAAAAAAGCCACATGTGGGCCAAAGGGGTGATGACTTCTGCCTTGAGAGTGGTAGGGTCCATTCTTAGTGACCATGTACATCAGTAACGCCAGTCAGTGTATTAGTGGGAAAAACAAGAGTTTTGAAGATTTGCAGACCTTCTCTCCTCCTCTTTAAGAATACACCCCCATACCTATCCCTGACTCAAGAGGTCATCGGACTTTCTACAAGCCAAGATCCCATTCCCCTTACCTGTATCTGCTCCTTCCTTTCAGAAGGAATTTAGAAACATGATTTTAAAACACAGAGTTTATTATCAAAGTGAGTTCAAAAACCCAGCTCTGTGACTCACTAGCCACATGACCTTGGGCAGTTTACTTAGCTCTCTGAGATAAGATTCCTTATGTGTACATTATTTTTATGGAAGTTAATTGAAATAAAGTCAAGTCTCTGGTGCACAGTAGGTATATAATAAATGACAGTTATGATGATACTCAGCTGTAAAACATGACTCCTACCCTCAGGAGTCTCATAATCTAGTGGAAGAGCACAAGATTTAAGTCAGACCACCCAGCCCACAAGTGTAACGTTTTGAGATCCTTACCACCTAGACATTCCATCATACAGTTCCTATTACTGTGAATCATAAGAGTGTGCCGATTCCAGTAGACAAAGGAAGCAACAGACAAATGGCAGCAGAATGTATAAATATTTCCAATGAAAACTTCAGATCAATGCAGAGATGGTGATAGAAGCAGAATTCTGAAAATGTAGACTGAGGATAGTCCTAGAAAGCAGGCTTACAAGTGGGAAAGACATTGCAGCACCATAGTCGAGATCAAGACCTGAGACATTAAGCTTTACAAGGAATAAGAAACCATGAACGTCCTTCCCAGGACACAAGGAATGTGCAACAGGAGAACCAGGTGGCCTAATCATTTTATATTCAAATGCTGGAGGATCTGAGAGACAAGTGTGGGGAAAAAGACAAAATCCACTGTTCCTCTCATAAAAAAAAAAAAATCAAAGAAGTCTGCGATTCTTCTCTGCTTTCCCCAAACTAAAATAGAGATAGTGGCTTCCCATTGTTCCAGCTCAACACCAAGAAGCAGTGGCCAAGAAGATAGCCGGAGAGACAAGACAGCCCTCTGGGTCCTGCACACGGGTTGTCTGGGGCTCAGACAGAAGGATTCAAGCTGCCATCACGCAGCCACAAGATCTCCTTCATCTCCTATCTCATGAACAGCTTCACTCTACTTGGCCAGCAGTACTGACCCCTGCACACTCAATGTTATGCTCACAGAAGGTCATGGGATCCAAACAGCCAGCCATGAAAATGTCCCAGCAGAGCCAGAGGAGTGGTCCCCTAGGCGAGGGAGGAAGCGGTTCCCAGCAGCTGGCCGTGCAGTGGCTCCGGCGCAGTCTGTGCCCTGGACATTCGCACCAGAGGGGTCCGGGGATTGGGCAGGAAGCGTGGAAGCCAGACAGGAGTGTGTGTGTGTGCCCATGAGACACACTCGTCAACCTATAAAGCCCATGCTCACCTCAATTTTAGAGATCAAGAGGTTGAGGCTCAGATTGGTTAAGTAAATAACCCAAGGTCACAAACCGAGGAAGTGAAAAAGCCACTGCGAGCCAGGATTAGCTTCAAAGTGTACCCCTCTTTCCACAAGATGCCTTGAAGGTCCCTCTCACCATTAACATTCTGGGATTTCCATATTGTTTTTTAATATATACGGCACTTCATCCTGCCAAAAGCAAAACTTCATGGACAATTTTAATTTTTTAATGTTTATTTATTTTTGAGAGAGAGAGAGAATGACTGGGAAAGGGGCAAAGAGAGGAGAGAGAATCTGAAGCAGGCTCCAGGCTCTGAGCTGTCAGCACAGAGCGCAACACGGGGGTCCAACCTACAAACCGTGAGACCATGACTGCACCAAAGTTAGAAGCTTAACCAAGTGAGCCACCCAGGCACCCCTGATGATTTTAACACAAACTTCTCCCTTCTGCTTTTTGGCACACACCCCTAGGCTACAGAATGAATGGAAATTCTAGGTCCTCTTTAAGGAAGTATCTGAAAATAGTCATGTCGTTTTATTTGCTTAAATATGAGAAAATTACATATCACTGTCAGCAATTAAATGACAGAGATATACACTTAATTACTAGCGCTCTAGGCTAGTGGCTCTCTATTCTGTCTGTACATTAAAATCACCTCGGGGAGCTTTTGAAAAATACCAATGCCTGAGTTCCACCTCCCAAATTACCAATTCAACTGGTCTGGGAGACCCAGTTGCTTCTAATGTGCAGTGGGTTGCAAACCTTTTGTTTAAGGTATAAACAAAACATGATGATCAAGACCAATAATACTCTATAAGCCTTACCTGAACTGAGTAAGTCCACCTTGGAGAACAGAGTCTTTATTCAAATATCAAGAGAAGTAAGCTTCTGGGAGGTGTTCATACGTAACAGCCAAGTTCAACACAGTTCCATTTATTAACTGTCACTAATGGCTTATAATTAACATGAGGTTCTTGGATACACAAAGAGCTATATTGCTTGAGGTATAAAGAAGTTTTAAAATTTCCATGTAACTCACTCCCGTGCACTTATGTGAGCATTGCCGGACGTGTACGTACAACATAACAGCTAGTACAACACTCCCTCTATGGTATTGCTGTAAGCTCACTGCATATGAACGCCTTTGCTCTTCACATCAACATCATGACATAGACCTAGGTGTTATTCTTTTACAGATTAGAGAACCAAGACACCCGAAGTTGAAGTTGTCTTATGTCACACACGTAAAAAGAGGCAAAACCAGCACTGAAGAGCAGGTAATCTGCTCCAGAGTCCACGCACATAAGCTCCAACCTACACTGCACGTGACACGTAAGATTTTGGATCTGGCTGAGCACTTGACAGTTCATGTTTTTTACTGTGTGCCATCCCAGTGGGTCTTCCACTAGTCCGGTGAAATAGTCAGGCTGGTGCTCTTATCACCATCTTACTGAAAAGGAACCAAAGTTAGAGACGTTGCAAATCCTCTTTTGCAAAAAGAGCACCTCTTCCCTTAGGAAAGTGTTTCCAGTAAGAAAGAATTTTTTTAATGTCAACACACAATTAAAGAATCACATGGATTTAAATTAATTGTCTACTTCTTAAGAACACATTTAACATTCTTGACACCAAACCTGTATAAACAAAGAAACCCAGAGGCAAAATCAGGAATAAAGCCTTGCCTTGGACACACCTTTCCCCTCCTCCTCTCTCAGTCAGCTCTTTCTCCTCCTCTGGCTTACCCCTTCCCTACTCCCTGGGCATCTAATCTCTTCATGCTGTGTTCTGATGGGCCCAGTCGCTACCATCATCACCTAAACT